GTGGTGTAAAAGGAAGAACAGAATTGCCAGGTTATGTCGAACGTTATATGGCAGGCAAGATAGAGTTGGATAGCTTAGTAACACACACCATGCCATTAGATGATATTAACCGCGCTTTTGATTTGATGCATAAGGGTGAAAGTATTCGCTCCGTGATTATTTTTTAAAGGATTTAAAAGCAATGCAGCAAACTGAATCAGTTAAAGAGTTTGGCGGTTACTTAAAGCGCTACATTCATTATTCACAAACTTGCCATTGTGAAATGACCTTCTCTGTTTACCTACCACCGCAAGCTGAAGCGACAAAAGTGCCCGCACTGTATTGGCTGTCAGGCCTTACGTGTACAGACGATAATGCGCGAGTGAAAGCAGGTGCGCAACGTTATGCGGCTGAACATGGAATTGCCATTGTATTTCCTGATACTAGTCCGCGCGGTGATGATATTGCCGATGAGCCAGAGCACTATGATATGGGGCAAGGTGCTGGATTTTAATGTCCAACAGAGCGAACAACAGAATTCGGCCCCTTTGGGTATTCGATGATTAATTATCCATATTCCTACCATTGACTAAATTTTTAACCAAATATAGATTTTTCGCAACTTTATATTCTTGGACAAGGTTGCGTATCTTATTTACGGAAGCATGTGACTAGCCTATGTGCTTAATATCGATTGATGGGGGACGTAATGTCTATGGGCTGGCGGCATGGCCGCATTTAATTTGCGCACTCGGGAGTTATATAAAATTCCGTGCGCCTGTTATAAAATCCGTCTCGGCTTTTTCCGCCTATCGCTAACCCTATGGGACCAACTGTGAATGGGGTAAAAGCTTGTTTTATGCGCCTACGCGTAGGTTGGGAAGAATAATAGTAGACTGGCAAGCCTATGACGCAACTGCTTTAGTTGAAGCCGGTGCGAAAGTTACTGATATTTTGATTGATCAGGGAACAGCAGATGAGTTTTACGATGAGCAGCAACTATTACCAGAAAACTTTCAAAAAGCCTGTAATGAAGCAGGGCAAAAAGTAACAATACGAATGCAAGAAGGTTATGATCATAGTTATCACTTTATTGCGAGTTTTATCGGTG